GTCATGTTTTTCTTGTATTCATTTGTCTTTAAGCATCTTTTTTTCTCTCTTTCTTTTTCTCTTTCGAAAAAAATCTTTCCCGTCCTGTTTTGATATATTCCATTCTTTCTTTCTTTCTTTCTTTCTTTATTTATTTATTTATTTATTTATTCTTCTTTCTAGATACATTTGAAGACGTCTTTTTTATTTATCTTTACCTATTTTTTTACTCTCTTTCAAAAAAAGATCTCTTGTCCACACTGTTTTGATATTCATTTTCTTTCTTTCTTTCTTTCTTTCTTTCTTTCCGTTTCCATTAATTTTTCTTTCTAGAGAAATTTGCAGCTATCTTTTTCCTATATTTCTTTGTCTTTACGTGTCTTTTTGTTCTTTTTCTTTCTCTCTTTCGAAAAAAAATCTCTTCCCCGCCACCTTTTGATATTCACTCCTTGTTTGTTTGTTTGTTTGTTTGTTTGTTTGTTTCTTTCTTTCTTTCTTTCTTTCTTTCTTTCTTTCCTTCTTCTTTCTTTCTAAAACCGCTCTCACCCTGTCATCTTGATATTCAAAGTTTCTTTCGAATCGACAACATTTTCTATAGGTATTGATATTCAACTCGCTTACAATTTTTGTCTTTCATTTGAAAAATCTTTCTCACTCTCTCGCTGTTACTCTTTAAATCTCTTTATCTTCTTCTTACTCCCTAAAACTCCCTTCTTTCTGTTAGTCACTCCCTTTATACCTACTTTTCTTTGTTCCATTCCTTCTCTCGAAAAGAAAGTCTCCCTATTCAACTTCTTCAAATCTCCCTTTCCTTCTTTGTCATTTATCCTTTCGAAAAATCTTTCCGATACACACCTACTTTACACATTTTTTATTTCATTCTTTCTTTCGAAATCCCCCTCCCCCCCCTCTCTCTCTCTCTCTCTCTCTCTCTCTAATTTTCACTTCTTTACATCTTTCTTTCTTTCAATGGTAAAGGTGTTATTAGATGTTTCCTTATCTAGAAACGCTCGGCATTCATTGACCGGGCTACTCATTATCTGTCTATATTTCTGTGTTCTGTCTATATTTATAGTGTTCACAAGAAAAAGGGATACAGTCAAGTGGTTATAGACTTTTTCCACGCAAGAAAAAAACGTCAAACCAAAAATTGCGTCAAACCAAAAATTGTTCATTTTTATTGACTAGGAAGAAATCTCAGCGTGCATCTGTAGTATCCGTCTATAAATTTAGAGAGGGCAGGTTTTTTATTAGTCAGTCCCTAGTTTAAAGAGCACTGCCATAGCCTGCTCAAATGTCAAACTCTCTGCCTTGAGCAACGATGAACCCGATTGTTGGCCGGGCCTACGGGCTCGGAGAACCCACGGTAAACTCGGCCTTGTGCCACATACATCCCTAGTTCTGTTAAATATAACAGTCCCTATTTTGAGAAGCAGTGCCATAGACTGTTCAGCTGTCAAACTCTTTGCCTTGAGCAGAGAGGAACCCGGACAAGCTTTGCCGAAGGGCAAAGTTTCATACAGGGAAGTAGACAGACCCTGAACCTGCTTACGCGGGTTCTAAGAGAATATTTTTGGCCAAGCCTACGGGCTCGGAGAACCCACGGTAAACTCGGCCTTGTGACACATACATCCTCGTGGGGCGGTGAGGGCTGTTAAATATAACAGTCCCTAGTTTGAAACCAACAAAAATTAGTATCCCCATTTGCTCCTCTCAAAATATAAGCCATGTAATTTGATTATATATATTTATCCAGTCACTATTTTATAGCAAATGAGAATTTGTTAGTATCTGTGTATATTTCTGAGATGAGGTATTATGTACATTATTTTCATTATTCGGACTATTGTCCTCATCTTTGTCACCATATTTATTACAACGTTTCGGCTGTTGTACGCTCCGGCCTTCTTCAGTTGGTTAGAATGTCGAACTGAACCCTTTATTTCGCTCATTCGGGTAGACTGTTCTAGTTCCACGTTCCACGTTTGATGGATGTCAGTTATCAGTTATCTGAAATTTCTCCACTGCCTTAACCGGGTATTGAACTCACACCCTTTAACGCCTTTATCCACTGTGCCATGTGTCCTTGAGGACATCTGTGTATGAATTTCTGGGTATTATAAACCTAATGTCTTCAGCAACCATTTTTTACCAGTGCTCATATTGCAACTCATGTTACGCTTTTCATCATTGGCTATTCTGTTGAGATTAAAGCGTAATATCTGTACACCTCATCTACAATGGTAATGGAAATATTAGCCCTTACGTTATAAGTAAACATTCCACATTCATTGACCGAACAGTTACTGCTACACGAGTTACGCTTTCCTTCACACCCTGACCATGAAACTAAGATCAAAGTGTAGAGCCTGCCTTCGTGGGGATAATTTACATTTTATCTCTCAATTGTCTCTCTGAATTCGGACAGAGATTAAAGAAAAAACGAATAAAGGAAAAAGGCATTTGTATATATTGTGAAAATTTTATGTCACGTATGTTTTAGTAGGATCCCTGTGAATATGCAGTATTGTGGTATGTATTAGATTGAATGGTGATGGATGAGTTCTTGTGGTAAATTGTAATGGATAAATGAATCATGAATCAGGTTTGGTTTGGTTTATTTTGTTTAACGACATATCAACCTCAATGGGTTACTTAATGCCGACACCATTTTTAGGATAGATTCGTATGAATAGAATATGTATTCTTTGGTTTAGATTGGTTTGGTTTATTTTGTTTAACGGCATATCAACCTCAATGGGTTATTTAATACCGACAACATTTTAGGATAGATTCATAGGAATAGAATATGTATTCTTTGGTTTAGATTGGTTTGGTTTATTTTGTTTAACGGCATATCAACCTCAATGTGTTATTTAATGCCGACAACATTTAAAAGTTTTTATTGCTGGTAATATTTTGTTTTGTTAAAAATCTGTTTCTGGTAATATATTTCCTTCAAAATTGTATTGCTGGTAATAATTCCTTTAAAAAAAAAAAGTATTGCTGGTAATAGTTAACTATTTCCCCATAGCTGGGACCCTAACAGGTGCTACCATCGCGGGTCAGGGTGGACCTGGGTCCACCAGCAATTAAGAGGTGGTTCATGATAAGAGGCCTTGCTGCTGGACGCTGTCACGAATGAGATTAACTCGGCTTAGAAAAGTCATGGACAACTGGCCTCACTCCACTTTCCTCTTCGGGGAATAGTGTCTCTGATGCAATAAATATACTGTCTTCGGACAGAGCGTAAGTATGTTGTGTCTTTGTCTTCGAGCAGGGCGCAACTAAAAATATTGCGTGGTACCTGGTCCCTGGGTAGTAATACCGATGCCAGAGCAATTGGGCTATTTTAGACTGGAGGCTAGGCTATTTAAGACCGGAAACTGGGCTATTTTAAACCGGAGGTTGAACTGTTTTGAAGTAGGTATATAATCTAACCAATTTCATTTAGATTATTTTTTTTTGTTGTTTTTGTTTCCATCAATTCTGTTATTAAATATCCTATATTGTGATAATATAAGATAATATATTAAATACCCTATACTGTGATAATATATATGGGGGCTAAAATCGGTAGTACTTAAATTTACTTCTCTTTTCGCAAAAATGGGGAATAATTTTTTTTGTACAACAGAACATGCAACCAGAAATAATAATAAGCTTTAATTTTTTTCCAATATTATTATACAGGGTGACCATAAAGTTTGTGTGCACTTTAAAAAATTTATAACTTTATTTGTATTTGCGATAGAAATAATCTGTAAAAAATTTTGTAAAGTTTAATGTACTTAGTTTTAAGTATAGCTAAAATAACTAATGTGATTTCAGGATATACTGTACATGAGTTGGCAAATGTTTTCCGTGAACTGCAAAATCGTATTTCCGTTTGTATTGCTAATGATGGAGGACATGTGGAAACTTAAATAAAATTTCAATAAAACCTTTAAAAAATAGATTTATTTCTTTCTAATCCTTTTTACAAATTATTTCTATCGCAAATAGAAATAAAGTTATAATTTTTTTAAAGTGCACACGAACTTTATGGACACCCTGTATATTAAGCGCCCCGGATCACGAATATATTTTTATTATTAAATTATATAAAAGTTAATGTGGTCGGGGGTCCAGTTTACTATGTAAATTCATTGTAAATTGATCCCATTATGGAAACGAAAACAAGATATCCTCAAGCGACTTCATTTCATAAAATTTAAAATTAAATTTTTTTAAAAACAAAAAGATTT